CCACACCATGATGACGACGTGTTTTGAGCTTCCAGGTACTTAAATAACGGCCTGAGGGATCGCCGGGGCGAGATTGGCAGCGATGTATTTGTAGTACATGTAAGAAATGAAACACGGACAGCCAGGCAAAACTGGAAGTACCTTAGAGCTAACCTTGTGACCGCCGTCCTCCCATCCCAAATAGGACTAGTAGTAACATCACAATACGAATAGATACCGGCCTATTGATACAGGCCCCATTCATTCCCAGATGCCATTATCCTTCATCTTAATCAAAACCCTCAATGGGACGATTGGTTCAATAAAACATAGCCCTTCCTTTGATTTCATTTTGTCACTTCTCATTCATTTACGAATAATACCTTAAACCATACATAATAACCTTCCCTCGACCGCCACTTCTTTCTTTGCCCCCTCCAGTTCAACGAGATCTGTGCACTCATCTCTTTGTCTCAGTGTCATTCTAATTTTTGGTAAGTGCCTGTGTTCTTTCTCTCCCACCCCCTCAATCTTCTCGCCATTGTGCAGAGAGGACAGCAACTGAGGCCTGGTGCGACTTGAGCTGCATGATCCCTGTCACGGATGCTATCCACCCTACGACTGTTCTCATTCGCTCCAAGCCACAATCAGGTGCTAGCCAGCGAATTGAATCCATCTGACGCTGGTGCCCGAACGCCTTGCTCTCCTCGTTGTGTTGGTCGGTGTTGGTTCCCTCCAGTCCCTCCAGTCCCTCCAGTCCTCCGTTTCGTCCATTTCTCACCCATCCCCACCCTCCCTGATCGACTCGAATCACGGTTCCACACCAGCACCTGCTTACCTTTTTTTTTACCCTCCCGCTGATCAGCGACCCGTGTTGAACTCCTTCCTTACGTCTTCATCACTAACCTTGCGACGTCTTCACAGCTGCGCATGGTACTCTAGCGAATGCTAACCTCCAAGAGACCTCTTCGCGGATTGCCCATTGATCCCCCATTGATGGGGTGTCCGCTATGAATCCCGGAGAGTTCCCCAACCCGGGCGCGGGGCCTGGCCGGCCAGCCCCGAATACCGCGATGAGGATGAACGCAAATATGCAGGTCCCGAAGAATGACAGTGTTCAAGCTATGATGACCTATGTCGCGCAAATGTTGCAAAGTCAGGGACCATTCGGAGGTTGGAAGGCAGACGTTCTAATCAAGACTCGGGCGACGAATGTTTATCAAATGTAAGTTATTTTCTGCCTGCGAAACTTGCTTTCGCTTTTTACTTTTATCTGGTCTAACCTCTATGTAAATTAGGATCACCTCCCTCCGTTTGATCCAACCTCGCATCGATCTCCACCAAGCGGCCCAGGCGGCCATGAGTTTCGAACTAAAAGCATTCACCAAAGCCAACGAGAAGATCGAATACGAGAAGGAATGCACCGAGAAGCTCCTTCACATCAGAAACACCCGAGAGAGACAGGCCGCGGTCGCTTACCAAAGTGGAATGATGCCCCAGACGGGCGCTGGTCAAAATCAGATCCCAGGCGTTTTTCCGCAGCACATCAATCAGAGCATGCAGGCCTCCCCGGTCTCTGGCCAACAGCAGATGGCAATAGGAATGAATGGACAGAACCAGCAGGCAGCAATGCAGCAGCGGCAGCAGCAGCAGCAGCAGTCGCAGGCGATGCTCCAACAGCAGCAGCAGCAGCAGCAACAGCAGCAACAACAGCGGTCCCAACAGCGCCCTGGCAATGGAATTCCGATGGTCGACGACCTCAGCACGCTCTCCGCCCAGGAGCTTGACCACGTCTCTCGACTGGCAAACGAGATGTTGAATAAAACGAACCCGGAAGATATGGAGAAGATCAAATCGAACCTGTCAAATATGACACCGGAGCAGCGGCAATACTTGGCACGGAAAAACCTCGAGCCAATGACCTATTTTTTCCGCTCTCAGGCTCTGAACCAGATCAGACGCCATCGTCGCGCTCGTCTGGAGATGGGGGGACGTGCGCCAAATGCCGGGGTGGATGCGAATGGTAACATGATGGGGGACCCCATGATGAATTCTCAGCACCAGCGACAGATGCTTCAAAGCATGTTAAACCTTCAACGCAATTCTGCATTTCCCGGAAATCCTGGTCAGACCATGGAACCCCCAAACTTCATTGGCAATGTGGAAAATATCCAAGGACAGCAAGCAGATGGCCTGCGCTCACAGGAGGCTGGTCAGCTAGTCGTTCCTGCAAGCTCTTCCCAAATGAACCAGGCTCCATTCCCGAATAATAACAACAACATGTTCCCACAGCAGATGGGCCAGAATGGCCAGGCGAGTATGAACGCCAATAATACAAACGCTCAGGCTCAGTTTCTTGCCCAGCAGCATCTGCAGGGTGGGTCTAATACCCCCCAGGATCGAATGCAGTTCCAGGCACAACAGTCTCAGGCTCAAGCCCAGGCTCAGGCGCGTGCGCAAGCGGCCCAGAAAGCTCAGATAGCGATGTCGGGCCATGGTGGCCAAGTGACCCCCCAACCACAGCCGCAACTGAACGGACAGAGCCCCGTCATGCCAATGCTGAATCAACCCATGGCTCCGGGTCAGATGTCTCCGGTCCAGGTGCCCGCTCAAGCCCGACCGCCATCCCGACCTGCGAACATGGGCCAGCATCCGGCTGGCGTTGCAGGACAGGCTGCGATGCAAGGTCCACCCCAAATTCCTCCCAATATCCCGCCTCACATCCAGGAACAACTCGCTCGCATGCCTCCTGAACAGGCTCGGGCTTTTATCATGCAGCAGCAACGTCGTGCCGCTTTTAACAACATGGCTCGAGCCAACCCCGGTCAGCAGCCGCAGCCTCAACCAGGCCAAGCCCAATCAATGATGAATAACCAAATGGGCAACGCCATGATGAGAGGCTCGATGAGTGTCCCGCAGGATTTGAACTCGGGAGGCATGTCCCAAGGCCAACAAATGACTCAGCAGCAACGTCAGCAACGCCAGAATGAGGTTTATAAGCTTCAACTGCTGCGACAGCAAAACAATGGCGTGGAGATGACTCCTGAGCAGGGCAAGCAAATGGACCGCGTGTCTTTCCCGCCGTCTATTCTGAACATGAATGGCACCTCGATGCAAGTTCCTAGCAACATCAAATCATGGGGCCAGCTCAAGCAATGGGCAAACTCGAACCCTCAAATCGCAAGCCCCAACGACCTCCCGCGCCTCATGATGCTCCAGAAGCTTCATCTTGGTCAACTGATCTCAGCTTCTACGAATCAAGCCAGAGACCAGAATGGCCAGGTTCCGGTGGCAACTCCATTCCAAGGCGGCCAGGTTCCGTTTAACAACGCGCCAGGCTTCCCTCCTGGCCAACAACCCACTGGTCTCAACGTAGCTGCCATGCGGCCAATCTCCGCCCAAGATATCCAAATGGCTCGCCAAAAGCTTGGACACCAGGCGTCAAACTTCACCGACGAGCAGATTCGGGAGATTCTGTACCGAAACCGCCAAAAGCAGATGATGCAGGCTGCACAGAACCGAGCAATGCAACTTGAAGGGAACACGCAGCCTGGCCAGCTAAGTCAACCGGCGGCGCAACCTCCTGTTCCTGCAGCCCAGCCTGTCCCGCAAATCAAACCACAGAATCCCCAGCCCCCGCAATCGACTCCCCAAGCGGCGAACGCAAAGACTCAAACTGGAGCCGCGGCCAAAGGTGCTAAGGGTGCTACCGGGAAGCAGACCTCGAAGAAGAGACCCGGCGCAGATGATACAACAGAAGCCCGAGCTACAGCTACACCCCAGATGAACCAGCCTGTGGCAGTTCCGGGCGTCACAGGGACGGCCCCCCAACGCCACGGTTTTCCTTTCACGCAGGAACAGCTTGCACAAATGACTCCTCAACAGCGAGCTCAGGTTGAGACACACATGCGGAGGCAACAGTCTCAAAGTCGGGGTCAGGTACTCAGCAGAGCTGCCGCCGACGAGGCATGGAACAGGAACCTACCACCGCAAGTTATGGAAGTTTATAATGACATCGCCAAGAACGCTCCACCCGCAAAGCCTTTACCTGTCTCGCCAGAGCAGAAGGCCGCCATGACCAAACAACTGCGTGAAGCCTTGGATGTTCTCGGCCGCTTGGACGCCCTCGTGCAATGGTTTGCAAGGATGCAAGGTCAGGAGAAGAATGTGAAGAATCTTCTTGCCATGGTAAGTCCTCCTTTGATAATATAAGAGTTTGTTTACTAATCTAATCCCACTTAGCGAATCCAATTGATGAGGCAGTTCAAGCCCTCGCAGGATTGGGTTATGAATGAACATTTCACCGTTACGCCCGATTACCTCACTGGTGCCATCCTTTTTATGCGGAAGTTGTTCGCAGTGATGATTTCTCGCATGCAACAAGGTCAGCGTCCTAACGCCTCCCA